GGGATGTGGGGCATGTTGCCCGTGATTGTCCTGACCCTGCACCCTTGCCCCAAAAGTCTACGGTTCCAGAAAACTAGGAGCGAGTGGTCGGGTGGAGGGATGGCTGCTCCAACCACAGTCTATACCCCTCCATGGGAAATGTTCACTAGTAGGTCACACACAGGGTTTGTACGTGTATTGTGTTCTAAACGGGCATGCCAGCAGAGCCCTCATCGATATGGGGTCTACTATTTCCATTGTCCATCCGGGAACCCTTTCTGGAATGGAAGGGTCAACGCCAACTGGGTGGTCAGCTGCTACGATGCAGATGAGAATGGTAACTGGGGAGCGGGTGGCCCTTAAAGGAGGAAGGCAAGTTTTTTCATCAATGAGTTTTGGTTGGCGGACATAGAATATGCATGTATTATGGGACTAGACTTTTTGACGCTGAGTGGGGGCTGTATAAACGTGGCTGGGGCTTACTAGTCGAACTCGCGAAGTCCAAACTACCGAGGATGCAAGACAGAAATTTGCGTACTTGATATTGAGAAACGCTCGCAGACCTATGTCACCAGACTATTTGCCTAATCTTCTTGGTACTTTAGACCGCGGTGAAAACGTAGACAGCAACAGGTCTGGGGGAAAAATTGTTCCTGGGACAAATTGTTCCTGGTAATTTCGGTGGAAAGGCGGCTCAAGACTATGATTTTGACGTGCAGCACCGGGCCGGCCGGCAGCATGGGAATGCGGATGCCCTGTCCCGCCGCCCCTGCGAGGAGGTCGACTGCCAAAAAAAGCAGGAAGAGCGGGAAAAGGCCGCAGACGAGGTGGCAGTGCGGCATGTAGATAGAGGGGAGGGGGCCTGTGACCCCCTGGAACTTCATGAGTTGCGGCGGCAGCAGGAAGCAGATCCTGCCCTAAAGAAACTACATGAGTGGCTGGTTGCAGGTCGGTGGCCAGAGCGGCAGGAGATAATGGCACTTGGACTGGAAGTGAAAGCCTATTACTCCCAGTGGGCCACCCTTACCCTCCGTGAGGGACAATAATGACTCCTAAGTGATTGAGGTGTTCTGTTGTTGAATGTAATAATGAACATAGCAGTCGTCATTTACTCCCGACATCTGAGCCGCTGAACTGGCAGTGGATTACATTTGTTTCTGAAGGGAATGCTCCCCTGATCTACATAAATGCGTCTATGTTCGCGCAAATCATTCATGATCCAGTCTCATCTACAGAAGAAGTGAGTATAATGTTTTGTAATTAATCTTTTCAAATAGCCTTTCCTAATAATGTGCTAATTAGCAAGTTTCACGATGAAGGCGGCTAAAGTAAACAGTCTCTCTGAGAGCAGCTCGGAAGAGAGGGGCGGGGTCAGCAGAGCTCATTAGCATTTAAAGGAAACTGCTACAAAAATGGCTTGATCTGAAAGAGCTGTTTTTGACAGGGTAAAAAAGGTGTTTTTTACACTACCATTGAGAAATTTTAACCAAACTACGTTACAGACTTTTCATTAAGACCCTAAAGAATCATATCAACTTGTGAAAAATGGGCATCCTATGACCCCTTTAAGAGACAACTGTCCCAGTGTCCATAAAAGAAGCTCTAGTCCTTCATCCGCACTTATATTCGAGCAGCGTCAGAGATGTAGTGTTGTAAGGATCTTGGTGGTCTTCCGATAGCACATGAAGACAGCAGAGAAGGAGCCCTTCGCTCAAGTCAAGTCAAGTCACCTTTATTTATATAGCGCTTTTAACAATACAGATTGTGTCAAAGCAACTGTACAACATTAATTAGGAAAATTGTGTGTCATTAATGCAAAATGACAATAGTAAACACTCAATTTTCAGTTAAAGGTAGTTCATAATTGAATTCAGTGATGTCATCATCCAGCCCAGTTCAGTTTAAATAGTATCTGTGCAATCAAGCCGACGATATCGCTGGAAATTAAGTGTCCCCAACTAAGCAAGCCAGAGGTGACAGCGACAAGGAACCAAAACTCCATCGGTGACAGAATGGAGAAAAAACCTTGGGAGAAACTAGGCTCAACAGGTCAGGTCTGCCCCCAAAACTCGTCCAATTGTCTATGCAAATTATGTTATTCTGCGGGCACCACTTAGACATCCAGCCATTGAGTGATGACAGTCTGTTATGTATCTCATCACCACGGTAAGCAGGGAAGGGACCAGAGCATATTACAGTGTCTGACACTGCAAGTTCACACAACTCTTTAATGTTATTTTTAGTGATCTCCGACTGGCATAGTCGAACATCATTAGTGCCGGTGTGAATAACATTCTTACTGAATTTACGTTTAGCATTAGCCAGCACTTTTAAATTTGCCAAGATGTCAGGCACTCTGGCTCCTGGTAAAAATTGGATTATGGAGGCTGGTGTCTCTATTTTCACGTTCCGTACAATAGAATTGCCAATAACTAGAGCACTTTGATTAGGTTTTTCAGTGGATGCGTCACTGAGTAGGGAGAACCTGTTTGATGTTTTGATCGGAACGGAAGAGCGGTGTTTTGACCCGCGACTATGACGCCTCACAGTCACCCAGTCGCCCTGCTGCGGAGGCTCTGTAACCGGAACTGAACAATGTACAGGACTCCCTGAGCTAGCCGCATCCAAAGCTGTATCCAAAGCCCTCACATTCTTACTATCCTCAATTAAAGTTTGGATGCGTGTCTCTAATTCTGAAACCTTCTCTGTCAGCCTAACTATTTCCCTGCATTTATCACATGTGAATCCACCGTCGCCGACAGAGAGAGCTAAACTATACATGTGGCAAGCGGTGCAAACAACAATATCAGGAGAAGAAGCCATTACTCACCGTGATTGATGAGTGATTCTGACTTACCACTGTTGTTTGATGAACTCGTGAAAAAACGGAGTGAGAGAGAAAACAAAACAGCAATAAAATGTTAAATAATAGTATCTGTGTATTTTTTTTTTGTAACTAAAAAAAGCATAAAAATAAGGCTTTTATGAAAACAATGAATAAAAAATTGCTTACCAACACACAAACCATCCACAATTGCTAAATTTGGCTAAAATAGAAGGCTCAGAGTGATACTAAATAAAGAGCCATTTGGGAGCCGTAAGAGGACTATTGTTCTAAGGGAGCCGAGCCAAAAGAGCCGAATCTTTGAAAAGAGCCGAACTTCCCATCACTAAAACGAACAGAACGAAGCGGTCACCCTAGTCCAATGAACCGGGCTTTGGGGGTCAAACGCGCTCGGGCACGGTTAAGATTGCCTATTATGAGTACACCCTCATTCTCCCGCATGAGTCTCTACCCGCCCGCACCCGCACTCGTACTCGCACTCACCCATCAAGTGTTGTACCGCGCCTTGGGTCAAGCGATAGTCCAGGTCTCTATAGTGATATCTCTTGCCTGTTATAGTGTTAATGTCGAGGCCCTGGACAAGCATTACTTGTCTTTCTATAGCAAACTATAAAATATTTTCTATAAAAATGTTAATGCCCTGGCAGTGGCAAGTAACTTTGGTTTTATATTTAATTTGATTACATTAATTTTATAAGTTAAGATTTCCAAGAAATATTTTAACTGCTACTATGTAAAAGGAATACTGCTGTAAAAAAAGCACCTTATTTGTTTAAAGTGTTTAATTTTTTACCAAATGTTATTGCACTTTTGTTGATATAGCAGTACTTTTAAATGAAAAAAGTGCACAATACACTACTTTTGAATTCATTATTGAATTTTGTGCATAACAATGCGATTGTTTTATTTGTAAATTATTAAACTTTAAGTAAAAAAATGTGTCCCGCATTTTCATGTGAAAAATGTAACAGTGTATGTTTTAGTCCATTGTCTGAGACTGATTTTAACTACACCATTACATTTATGATCTGGAAATATTCCTATGTCCCCCCCTCTATCATAGCTACATGGTGAGTAGATAGGCCCCATCATTTTGAGGTAAATGTGTTCAAAAGTCTGAAAAATCAGTGTGTAACTTTAATGAAACGTCATTACCAAACACCTTTTTTTCTGCAATTAAGCACACTTTATTGGGAGTTATTCCATAGCATTTAGTTTTTAAATGTGTACCACTGTTCAGAACTGTGCTAGCTAATCATGTGCTGATTAGCATCTTTGAGCTAGGTTTAAAAGTATCTAAAATTGTCACTACCGATATGTCATTATTGTTTTGGTTTTGACAAAAAGGAAATAAACAAAAGTTATGCAATTTTTTATTTTATTTTAATATGCAAGTTAAAATTCTGTTATGTGATGTGGTTGCTACCAAAGCATTACTGTTACTACCGAAAATGTGCAGTCACTACCGAAACTTGGGATGTTTTGTCAAAAATAAAGTATACTGAATTATCAACTAAGATGTTATGATAGTTTTTGGTACAATGCATATTCAAACTAATGAATCCTTGACTTTGAAATCAGTATGATCAACTTTTTGCCTTTTACAAAGAAAAATTGGATTCAATATACAACAAATCTCACAAATTACACTATAATATTGTTAAAAATGTAATTGTCATTGATTTACCTCTGACATTTTTTTTATAAAATATATAAAAAAATATGTATTTACATTACAATATAGATGTAAGCAAAGTCTTAATAGGTCAATATAACCCTTCTAATTAAATGATTATTACTGTGTTTCAGCAGTGACAAATTTGGGGAGAAGACAAATATTCCAAAACTTTCTGAAAATACAATATGAGAATTAACTG